CTAGGTCCGTACAGACCCCTCTATCCCTTTCTCCCCATGGTGTGTACATAGCTAAGCTCGCAGCATCGCCCTCTGGATAAGGATCGTGCAGCCTAGAAGGAGGCGGGTGCTGGGCCAAAAAAGAAAAGGGCCGCCGGTGTTGCAGCTTCCAAAGATCATTCCATGCTCATATTTGGTGCTGGGTGCACAGGAATTTCCCGACATCCCCCTCACGCATGTCTGTCACCCTGGACTGACATTACAGACACTGAAAGGGGAGGAGAGATGCCGCGGCGGAGTAAAGGGGGCAGAAGACACACACACATCCCCCGGCCAAGTTCATCGGAGAGCCGACACCTATGAGCCCCCTTGTCCTGTACATTCTGCTAGCCCTCCACACTGCAGGTAAGGACACGGCTCGTTCTATGATTACATCCGTCCTGCAGAGGAGTGCACCTCCTCCGATGCAGCATCCCAGACTGGAGCCTTCGTAGGCGGTGCAGACACTGTCATGTCAGGAGGTATCACATGGCCCTCCGGCTCCTGATCATATATACTCCGACCTATTGATCACAATGACGTGTATACAGCGATCGCTAAACGTTGGCACCAGCCTGCTAGTTGTTACTGCTTTTTTTCTAGCTTCAAATCGTTGTGTTCGTAGATGCTTTGTCATAACATGCAATCGTGTATATAGAAACATGTGGAAGCTTTGGCAGTGAGTGCATTAGTCAGCAGCAATTGCTACAACGTCATATCTATATGGGACAGTCAGCTGATAGGTCATCTACAAAGCATCTTCTGGAGTTTATGTGGTCATCCTGTGCTGTAGTGATCACACAGACCATTCTATGTCATTTCAAAGCACTCACTCCCCTCTCATTGCCATTTTTGTGAGCTCATGAAATAGAGACACATTACAAGGCTATAGATAGAGCATCTGCAGTAGTTTGATTTGGTGCATGATACAAATGAGGTGTTTAGCGCAAACTGTCAACTGTATACATGCATTTTTAAACTGCACAGATCATCCCAAGGTATGATGAGCATGTATCTGGAGCAAAAACTTTTTTAACTTTAGCTAGCCTGAGGAAGGGTTAAAACCCCCGGCCTGGGATTTTGTGATACAAAATGAGGTGTTTAGAGCAAACTGTCAACTATATGCATATATTTTTAATTTGCACAGATTATCCCATGGCATGATGGGCTTGTATCTGCAGCCAGTCCTGGCAGAATTTTTTTTAACCCTTGCAGTGAGTCTACTGCCGCACTGCAAGGGTTAACTGCTCATTTTTGCCTAAAAAAAAAAGGCAAGAGACGCTCCAGGGACCTAAGCACCGGCTGGCCCGGAGGTTCGGGTATTAAGATGGCCATATACCTATATATTATCTGCAGATTTTCTATGGTCAGATGGAAAAAGTGCAAGAGATTCCTCCATCTACGTTACACTGTGTGGATGGAGGAATCTCCCACTGGGCCAAGCTTCAGTATCTTGCTAGTTGGCCCCGCTGGCTCTCAAAATACCCGAACTCTCTGATTGGATGCAGCCATTGTTCAGGTGTTTTGTGAGCTAGGGGGGCAGAATTTTCGGCCATTGAAGGTGGTTTATGAATGCTTGAACACAGCTTATTTGTCAGCATATAGGTTTGTAAAAGTATTATTATTGAGTAGTCATAAAAGTCAAATATCCAAATTAAATAGATGGAGTCACAGCCAGTACTGCAGTTAATTGAATAGTAACACAGTGTAATTAATGTTACAAAGTGCTATATAACACTACTCTGACATAAACATCATTCTATATGGAACTTGTATTAGTTTAGAGAGGAACTCTGACGAGTGGAGGTAGGCTTTCAGTGTATAGTCTTTCTGATACTCTATTTTTACAAGCAGAAGACCAATAACTCACCCAGCCTCATCGGCATGCTGTCAGGTTCTTCCTCCAGGTCATCCCATGCACAGAGTAGCTGTATTCAGTCACTTACTATGTGCTATTGTTTGTGTCAGCAGTGGGATTCCACTAGTCTGCAGACTACATGAATCATTTAGATCCCGTTGTCCAGGCATTCACCTGAGCTCGCATCACACTTAGGAGGACCAGTGAATGCAGATAGATGACATGCTACTTCCACTATAATGTCAACTTTCTGTTATAAGCTGTCATGACCCCTCCTATCTTGCAGTCCTAACCCTTAGTCCCCTTCGTAAAACAGCCCTCATAACACATAATATGGATAAAAGCCTAGTTTACAAAAACTTCTTTGGAAATGCAAGTGCTTTCACTACCACGGTTTCTGCTCTTAAACCACATGTTTTCTAGACCATACTAAAGGCAAAATGTGACATTTTAAAGAGATTTTGGCCATAAGTTCCAGAGCCACTAATAGTCCACTTCTTCGCTGAGCTGTTCCTCTGTCAGAGCCAGGAGCCCTAACCCTGCATATGTTTCATGTTGAATTGTTGTAGAGCTTACACAAGGTTTAGAGCTTCCTCATCAGTTGATGGTGTTCGGGCCTGGTGATTGACAGCTCAGAACATGAGCACTGTATCATGGGAGGAGGTCACTTCCCCCTTCCCAGTGCATAATACCAACAGGTACATACTGAAAGCTTCTATAAGAGAACCAGTCACTTTAACCATTTAGTTCTCCATAAATCAGTCTACAGGTAATTTGGGTAACAGTATATAGATTATAGTTTTACATTACTTCTTTTTGGAGCAGGAGATACAGTAAATCCCCTTTCTGAAAGTTGGTTTTAGGTGCACCTGTTCCCAGACCATGTGCATTAAAGTATTTGCATATTCTTAATATGCTATAAAAGAGCTTAAAACAAGTAATCACTGATCTCTCTAGGTGCAGGCACTGCAGAGCAATTCATCTTTAAAGTTCAGAACAGAAACACTGAAATCACAGCTCCTCTAATGTAAACAAGCAGCAGGTGCTTTAACCCCCTACTGTTATTGGGAGTTGGACCTCTAAGTGGACTGTGATGTTAGAGGCCAGAAGAAGGGTGCTTTAACCCCCTACTGTTATTGGGAGTTGGACCTCTAAGTGGACTGTGATGTTAGAGGCCAGAAGAAGGGTGCTTTAACCCCCTACTGTTATTGGGAGTTGGACCTCTAAGTGGACTGTGATGTTAGAGGCCAGAAGAAGGGTGCTTTAACCCCCTACTGTTATTGGGAGTTGGACCTCTAAGTGGGCTGTGATGCTAGAGGCCAGTAGAAGGGACTATTATTTATTTCTTTACTGAGATTGGCTGCACAATGATGACATAATCATAGCCCATCCTACTGGTTCCCAATGGTTAGTGGTTGACCATGAGCTGTCAGTGACAGCTCAGTCACAGTTTTGGGGTGCCCATTGAGTGCACCGCAAAACAACACAATGATGCATATATGTGCCAGCTGGCCATAAGGTCCAACTGCCATGCTGCTGCATATATATGTTGCGCTGTCATAAAGGGGTTCAGCTTAAAAAAATATGTTTTATTGCTGCCTATCTAAATAGAATAAATGTAAAAAAAAGCTGCTGCACTGAATCAGGGCCTAGATAAAGTCTGCTTCCAATACCCTAGGCAAGTCCCTTGTTGAAGTGGCCAGAAAGCTGGCTTCCCAGCCAATCAGCATTAGTCATTGCCCGTCACCCAGCTTCCTGATTGGCCAGGAAGCAGGCTTCTTGTTCCCTCGCAGCACTGGTGGTTAGAGGAAATCTCCCTCTGAACAGAAGTTTCTGTATTGAGAGTAAGGTAAGTATCAGAGCATTTGGGCGAGTACTTGCCCAAATACTCGATATCTACGCCGATACCGATACTAGTATCGGTGCATCCCTACTTTTTGCCGTCTCACACATACAGAAAGACTGATATAAAATCATACCAGTACTAAGAAGTTTCTGTCAAACCTGCCATGGAAGTTGTAATTGTTGATAAACTGAGTGAAATTTCTGATTTTAGAATAGCGGTAAAATATTTGATGGATTGTATCAGCGACACACTTATTTCTTTCACTTATTAGAACGTGGAACGACCCAGCTCTCCACACAAAATGAGACAACTGACGCAGCTGTGCAGATTGTTGCTGTATGTTAACTTCCATGTTTGATAAAAAGAGGCACCATAAGGGTATTTGTTTTCACAGACTGTCAGCCTTGTAACAATCATTCCTTTAGGGGCTAAGCAGACTTTCCTTGAGTCCCTCGCCCACTTTGTAGCGGACTAAGGATTCTTGAGTCATCATGTTCTATACACAGTGTATAGGATGTGAGGATGCTGAGGAACATTCCAGTGGAAGAGGAGACAGGCTTCAGGGACCAGAGTAACAGCCAACTGGCTCCAAGGTTTGGGTGAGTATAACTTTTTTTTTTTTTTTTAGCACCTAGACAGAAACAAGAACGTAACCCTTGCAGTGTAGGGGTAGCCCCACTGCAAGGGTTAAGAACATTTTTGGCCAGAGTTCGGCTTTAATATCACTAAGTGTAAAGCCTTACTGAAGCAATTGAGTGAGTGCACACAAAGATCTACACTGCCATACAAAGATATTCACAATTAAAGTGGATCTGCCACCAACCAAAAAAATTCCACTTGGGCATGTTGCAATTTATATTATGTAAAGTGACATGATTGTGTTGAAGAATAGTACATTCATTGTGTGGCTTCCAATTTAAAGGAGAACTATGAGGTTAGGACTTTTCCCCATAGTTCTCCTTAGGGTAATGGGAAGACACAAACTAGCATCTTCTCGTCACGCTAAGCTCAGTATACAGTGAGCTGCAGCTCACGGTATACTGAGATGCCGCACCTGGAGCGGATCCCGACAATTATGTCTGGATCCGCCCAGCTGCGTGAGTGACAGCTGGCTCCTATCTAGAGGCAGAGCCAGCTGTACCCGCCCCCTCCCCCGTCCGTTCCGCCAGTCAGCGCTGTAGGATCGGAGCGGGGAGGGGGAATCCAGTCCCACCCCTGTCAAACCTCTGTTTTCCCAATGCTGTTTACTTGGCAGTGGCAAAATGAATGATAAAAGTATGTTTAGGTTGCTACAGTTAATTCAACATGTGTGACAGATTTGTTTCAACAGCACTGTTGTTTTTACGTTTTATGTTAGAGTGTCTGATTAACGTTATCTTTGTATTCTAAATATGGAGTGTCATTGTAGAGAGCAATGACATGATTAAAAGGCCAAGTGCATGTTACTTGTCAAGGCATCATCTATAATAGATGTGGGCACAGTGCCAGCTTCAGTAATGAATACAGATCTATTGTGGTGAAGTACACTGAGTAGCTTATGCCGATTTTTGTATTTTTTCCTTTCCAAAAAAACTCAGAATTGCATGGGCGTATATAACCTATTAGTATGACATGAAACTACACTTGTCCGTATTTACATTTGTAAATGCTTCTATGATATCT